ACCCGGTCTAGTCGTGAGACGGCGTGATACGAACACTGAAACTCTGGATGCAAAATGGCCACAGACACAACCTGCTGTATTCTAAGGTCGAAGCCGGCAAAAAGAACATTGATTCCCTTCACTGATCACAGTGACTTCCCAAACAATCAATGCGAACCCTAAACCCCAAAAATGCAGATCACTCATGATCTGTCTCTTCCCCTATCCGGCTTGGAGGCGACGGAGCGGCACAGTTTGCCTGAAGATTCTTACGAAACTCCTTTTCTTGTGCTTGATGCTTCAATACAGTTTCTTCAGGCGAGATTTGATATGAAGATCGCTTCATACAAGATCTAAGCAAGTCTATTGGATCTCCATCGTTTTTGGTGAGTGCATCAGCGAGCATTCGATTTGTGGGTACCCACCGCACAAAAGCATTCATGGCCCTACAGCTCTCTCGGATTATTACCACATCTATACTGGTTCGGCGGTCATCGATTGATGTGGGGGCAGAAGGAGAATGCAAGTGATCGTACAGGCTCTTGCAATCTGTCACGATGATCGGTCGGCGTCTTTTCAGCACGTCTCGACAGGATCGCATTGTCAGCGGGCCGTCAAAAATCTCAGCCAACATCAAAAGTAGCCATTCGGTGGTCCCAGTGGCCGTGGCAAGTGCTTGACTCTCGGCTGACATGGTACTGCTCACTGCTCTAGGGAGTTTATAACTCTTCCATGATGCTGGACACCAGGTTGATTCCAATCCGTCTTGCAGGGATGCGTGAGTGAATCCAATGATATATCCAGCCTGAGTATGATTTCCCCTATTAGCAAATGCTGCATCACTGTGGCATACCAGTGTCAGTTGGTCTGGGTCAATTGATTTGAACACAACTCCCAACTCACTATGCTGTTTAGCTCTTCTGATCGCCTGATTTGCCATCCGAAAGTCTTCGATCGTCGGCTTTGGAAAGGCCTGTTGGGACAGACTAGTCTGGACGCTGATGTCCGGGCGTGACTGAGATGACAACCATCCGAGACTGCCATTCACGGCACGCAGCACTTTGACTTGACTGTCGGTCAAAGGATCACCTGGTGCACTATTCTTTGGCACATTGATTGATCGCATCTTGTCGGCAAAAGCGTTCATGTCCATTCGAATTGCCCCATCTTTGGTTTGGGAGTACCAGGCACCACAAAACTCACCTGTGCTTATTCGCCATTTTCTATATGGGAATCTAGTACGAAGTTTCTTGATTGAGGCCTCGAAAACCGGTCCATGTCCACCTACTGCTGTATCGTCCACGTGCGCGTCCATGATCCCCACCAAGGCTCCTGCTTCATCTCGAAGCGTGAACAGGCACGGGTCTAGAACACTCTGATACCAGTTCAACCCCTTTACATACGAACTAAATTCTTTGAACCAGGACGCCGGAGCGTCGTTCTGTCCGTAGATATTTCCGAGCACTTCTATCACTGCTGATTCAGGAAGGCCGGGGATGCCACCAGGTGGTTGGCGTGCGTAGAGTGGGCGAAATGCATCGTTCAGTGGACCTGCCTCTAGGAACGCGCCTTTATATCGCCTAACTGAAGTACCCAGCCCTTTGATGCAATCGTCTGAAACAAACACATCCGGCCTAGTTGACTTAAGGTAGGGGACTTCAACAGGCCCTGTTCGGCCTTCTGAGACAAATCCGGGTCCAAGTGCCCCTGTAGACACCATCTGCCCTTTACCGTGAATGTGGTGCTGTCATTTGGGTCCAAATCCATACCTTCTTCGAGCGGCTTTCGAGTCAACACGAATCTACTCCCTATGAAACGATGGTCTTCCTCTTTTCGAATGCGATCGGCTTTTGCTCCATAGTGGATCTTTACCGAATTAGGCTTGGACAGAATCGTTTCCCATTCCACACGTTTGCCTAGCTGGACCTTTTCCTGAATGTCGGGAGGATTGTTGCTGTGGTGCAGTTCCTTGCTCATTTTCTTTTTGAGATATTCTGCCATCAGGCAATCCCACGACACACTTTGTGCTTGGAGGAGGAAATCAACATCTTCAACACTCAACACTTCTGCCATGCGAGGCCTCGACGACACTGGTTCATCGGCGGACGGAGATGCCGGTCTTTTGTTTTGTGACATACATGCATCTTCAACAAGTTGGGGTACTATCTCTTTCATGATGTCAACAAAATCTGTTTGCTTCAAGGCAGGAGGCCGCCGCAGTGCCATTGGTCCATCCTTCCCTTCGATTCGGCGGCGAATGGGACCATAGGACGACGGTGCCGCAGTTTCGGCGGAACTTGGAGTGTCAGAAGTCTCCTCTACTGGTGTCGGAGATTTCATCTCTGTCATTTCTTGATCACCCTTCACTTGCTCTTCTTGAGAGTCTTCTGGCACAGCTGAAGTGGACATCGGCTCAGGCACGAGTGGTGCATTCACTTGAGACGGCGCTACCACAGTGCTTGACTCCGGCTCGGTACGACTAGCTCGACTGGTCCTTTTGTGGGGGATAAGATTGGGGCAACAGGTCTATATACTGTTTACTTCGGAGGTTACCACTATCAATCAAATCCTTGATACCTAACAATTCAGCTTGGGGCGATGCAAGCAGGGTTTTCTCCTCATAAGTAGCCAGACGGAGTTGCTCTGGAGCGCATCTCAGCACTTGTCGTCGATGAATGATGACGACATTGCGACCTACTCGACCGAGAACGATGGCGACTCCATACCACTGACCCCCTTGTTGGAGCTGACCCTGAACCCACTTTTGGTTTCGCCAATAGGCTACCATATCACCCGGATTGAAAGTCATTTCCACTTGGGGACGTGCCAGCAGAGCCACCCGCAGGGCTCGATCGTCTTGCATCTGAACCAATGCCGTACGAGCAGCTGTACGAATAGCTTGAGCTCTGGCAATTGATGCTTCTGTCAGGGAAGCTGTTGCTGGGATGACCTGGAGAGGTTCATTCAGCAAGTCCTGAGGAATATGCGGATTGCGACCAAACACGAATTGGTATGGTGAAAAACCATGTACCTGCAACTGTTGGTTCTTGATGTGTGCATGCACTACACATTCTAACCATTCCTCTTTGGATGATGGAGAAAATTCGTCAATCAACTTCTCTAGAACGCGGTTGAACCAGCCTCCATGAGTTTCACACTTTCCCAATTGCCAGTGGGCTCCAGCAGCAATCGGACGGATCTGGACACCGTCCAGCTCGGCAGGCACTACCATCGGATCTCCCAGGTTTGTTCTGGCAGGGTCCAAAACGATCTCTTTGGGAACACCAGCCCACGAAATCCAACTGTCGGTGAACAACTTCCTCAAAACACTTGCAGTTTCTGTTTCAAAGAAAGGAATCACCCGTTGAAAACTGCTGGCAGTATCGACAATGTTTAATGCCTTCACCTTTTGGTTAGGTAACTAACCTTTTAAGTGCTTAACATCGAGACCGACTTGACTGTTGAACTCTGTGATCCGATGAGGTTGCGCAGGCAGAGGCACCTTTGGTTTGAGCTGACTCCGGCACAAATCACACGAGAATTCCTTAGCCAAACGTATTGCTTGCTCACTGGCCTGTCCATGACGAAGAATTCTGACTAGATCGTGATTTGGTGGATGACCTAAGTTCCTATGAGGCTTATCCAAAACCGGAATCAGATCACTGTCAGAGTGGCCTCGGACCTGTCCAGCGGCTAGGATCTCTGTCCATGACGCATCGGGGACTTCTTCATTGATGACTTCTACATGAGCGATGCATTCACATGACGAGGTGGCCTTGGATCGATCTAGCTGAAACTGAGGTATCGTATTCAACACCGCTTGAACAAATTTCACGGGGTAGGCACCAGCAAATGTACTGATACGAGGAACACCAGGTGCACTTCCGGCGATCACATCATGACACTGATGCGTTCCAGTCTGGTCACATGTGAGACCCAGGCTGGACATGTCTTCATGAGAGACCAACAAACGGGTGCTCTTACGGATGTACCGGTCACTCTCAGGCAATTGAAGACCATACCTGCACATGTGAAGCTTCACTGTGTGAAAACGTCGGCAGAGTCCTTCTACCTCAGGGTAATGCCAGGTTCTTGCCCCTGTCGGATGCTCAAACACCACCCTACATCCCAACTGTACACCTATTCGGAACAGTTTGCAACACCATCGAATAAAGCTTCGGCTCTGTGCCTTAATGCGCAACACTGTGTGAGGATCCCATTTCTGACTATTCAACCAGAACCAACCACCTTCATGAGTACGCGGAGGGCACAGAATGAGCAACGACGGCGTGTCGTTGATGAGATCATCTTCCACCTTTCTCCTGTGTTGAGCCAGGCGAAAATCCCAACCGTTCTTAAGATCATACGATCGAGCTCGGAAGTGATGTTTCTCTGCTTCAAGCGAAAAACGTGGAGGTGAAAACACTTCCATCACAAGACATCGATCTTGAGGGTGTTGCTGAACGGCCAAACAAGTTTTGATTTGACTTTCCAACTGTCGACTCTCTCTCTCGGTCGGTTGCCACTCATTGGACACGGACATGGTTTCACCCAAAAATGAAAATTCGGTCCGAACATGAGCAACTCTTCGAGGAAGGCGGACGATGGTGCGATGTTGAGGGTTCCCTGGAATGATTGGGGAGTCGTCTGTTGGTTTCACAATCAATCACTTTCCTACGAACCACTTGTTTCCATGCAGGCCCTGAACGAGATAACCACGGAGTTGCCATCACATCACTGTACAGCTAGCGGCTTCTCATCCGCCGCAGGTGATGCAGATGGCTCGAGAGTCAAAGGTGTGTCTGCTTCGGGCGCTTCCGGCGACCGGTTCGCTGGATGAGGATGAGGCTCAAGGGTCATGACTTCCGTGAAATCAGCTGCTAGAGTTTCTTTGGGGGAAAGCAAATCAACCGCATACTGTCCTGCTCCATTTGTCTTGAGTGGAACAGATTGACCAAAAACATTGAGACAGTCCTTCTGAAAATCCAGTGAGGCGCCAAGGGACTTCAAGGCACTGCGACTCACCAGATGATCACTGCAGCTCTGATCACCCCTCGGCGATTAGCCAGGATGACGGGCATCTGAACGGAATAGTGGGAGGTCTCCACATCACCATTTCCGAACTTGAACTGGTGCACCTCGGAAATCTTGGAGGGCACTGTCCAGCCACGCTGAGACCACAGCTTTTCAAAGCTCTGTAAAGTTGAAGCTCCAACAACTGTCCTACCACAGCCCGAATCCAACACACCAAATCCTGGTGAGGAAACCAGCATGACCTCGTCAGGGGTCCACTCACCAGCAGCCTTGGAAAACCGCGTACGTGCTTGCTCCAACAAGGTCGGGCGATTCATGATCGCTGCAATGAAATCCAGCTCTTCCACAACTGCAGCACCTGAAGGTTGAGAAGCTCCTGATGCAGGTGGACCTTTGTCGGATCCCTTGCTGCTGCCTTTGCGAGTGTCTTTTGCTCGACACTCGCGGGCCCAATGACCTCGACGGCCACAGCGGTTGCAGGTAGTGTGTCGCTTCATCTCTTCCACTTCCACACGAAATGCTCTCTTCACGTCCTTGGACTTCTGGAATTGTCTTGTCTTTTGGAGACGGTTGAACTCTTGTCGACGCTCTTTCCATGTGGCAGCCAACACTTCTGCCACCTCAGCTTCATTGTAGGCCTCCGTGTCAGCGGCCCAATCAGCGCACGATTGATGGTCTTCCAGCAGGCGCTCCACGTCTGAAAAATCTTCTTCCCAGGCATCGTGGGGCTCGGTCGGATCGTCCATGGTCTCTTCTGCCAATGCAACGGCTGTTCGCCGTTTTCCAACAACAAGGTCGGGTAGCATGATCGGAGAGCTGCTGCAATGGATTCCCGTTTGAGATCTCCACGGGCACGCGAAATGACCACGGCCTTCTGCTCCTCGCTGAGGTTGGCCCTGCGCAACAAAAGCCAGCCCCTGGCTTCGTCAGGAAACTGAACTCCTGTTTTCCTGTGGCATCGGTCGAACAACTCCGATGCTCTGGCAGCCCATTGTTTCATCGTTTCCCCCTCCTGGGAGCGAAGATTGAAAACCTCGCCCAGGATTTCACCAAGCTCATCGACCACTTCCAGCTGAGGAAACCTTTTGTCCAGCAACGACCACAGGACCTGGTCGCCATCCTTCTTCTGATAGTCGCCAGGATCCAGGTGTTCAACAGCCTCCAAGGCCTTGCCAGCCAACAACGTGTATATATAGGCTCCTCGAGCAGTTTCAGGTAACTTGTCCAGGGTCAAGAGCTTGTTCTTTACCCAAGTCTTCCATCTCTTGTATTCTCTTCCATCCTCATTCTCTCCGGAGAAGCGCAAAGGGGCGGCCTCCGAGGCCGCAGCAGACATGTCACGGGTGCGGATCCTGACCGCAGGATCACCAACAAGCCATGGCTTCGGAGCCCGGGCTTTCCGGGCACCGTTACCAATTGCGGAGTGTCCGCCCCAACCGCGGGGCGCCGAGCGGGCTCTTCTTTCCTCAAGCCGAAGGTCCCTCCGGGGTCACGACGTGTCACGGGTGGACAAAATGATATATATATATATATATTCTTCTGCTGCGGGAACCAGGCCACTGCAGCATAAGACTATCAGCTGTTGACCCTGATTACTATCCTAAGGACGTTTGGACACTTAGCAACATGCCTGATTGCAAACATATTGGTTCGTCCTTGGATGTTCTTGGCGAACGGCGGGGTTTGGGCCATCAACACCACAAGTCAGAAAAACTTGTGAAATATGGATCTACTGCAATACTGGAAACATCGGTTTGTTCATGTTATATACGCCAATGCTAGATCCAGCTTGATATAGCAGACAACTCTTCTTAAGTCCGCTGCAAGCTGCTGCTGGACACTGGAGGTTCATGTATACAAGAGACAGCTTTTTGTGGAAAAAACATGACGAACTCTTTCAAAGAGGTGCAGACACAGAACTTACCCTCTGAAATGACACCGTCGACTGAATCTTGGCTCAGTTTGCTTGTGACTTTGAAAGATGGCAGGGCGCTCTCGAGCGCGAGCGGAGGCTCTCCGCCTTAGTATTCTTAGCCTTGTTTTAGTGCTTTCAAGCAGGGCATGGCCATGGCCGGCATGGGTGGGGCCACCATTGATCCCTTTGGCAGGGCAAAGCTTGACCAGCGGGCATGGTAGCACTGGCTACCGGAGCACTTCAAGGTCCACAGGTGCTGGCGTCAAGCCACGTGTACTCCGCATGGCCATAGGCAGCGGTGTTTTGGGCAGTCAGAAGTCAAATAAGAAGAAACAGACCTAAGAGATCTCAGAGTTGCAAACACAGCTTGAGGTCAATGATTTGCGAACCCTACATTAACTAATGATCTCCACACTTGCACTTCAGGTGCAGACCTCCGTGCTTATGCTCAAAGCCTGCCGGTTCCTCCCGACTACACTGGACCACCTTACAATGGCCCGAGCTCGGTCAATGATGCATTTGTGGACCATTTGCTGAATATGTACAAAACACAGGCTGGGCAGATTCATTTTTCCCAATTGAGCATCGAATTTTGTAGGTCTGAGACACTGCAGGCAAAGCTACCGATGAAATATTCCTATCTCATGGCGCTGGATGTTTTGGATATTCTGAAGCAGGAAAAATCACTGCAGAGAGTCGCAGTTCCCCCTGGAAGCAAGACCTCTGACATGTCCAAAGCACAATTCTTTTCGATGTCCTTTTGTGATTTATTGTTCTGAGCTTCCCATTCCGGATCATTCTGGGGTTGTTTCAGCGCTTTTGTGATGCTCTTAACACATTCCTGATTTGATATTGATTTGTGCTGAGGATCACTGTTGTTGGTGATATACACGGGCAATATTTCGATTTTGTCCACATGATCGAGCAAGTCACAGGAAAGCCCAGCCCTCAAAATCCGATCCTCTTCAATGGAGACTTCGTGGATAGAGGTCCGTGGTCTGTTGAAGTCTTGCTTTGCTTATACGCCTTCAAGCTCCAATACCCCACGGCCGTGCACTTCAACCGTGGGAATCATGAGTCAGAAATGACCAACTACCAGTAACTCGAATGCATAGCACCAACGCTGAACTGGTCACCAAAGATTAGCCTCCGCATATTTCACATCGGTCCAGGCTTCATTGCTTGTTGTTGGCTGGGTCCAGGTATGGCTTTGCTAACGAGGTCAAAGTCAAGTATGAAGAACCTCGCCATCCATATATTTTCATTGCATTTTCACCAACGCCCAGAATTGAGAATCTGCTTGTCAGTGAGTGTGAGCCCTGCAGATCTGAGGACAAATTGATGGAACTTTTTAGTGAAACCTTCCGTTACTTGCTCTGGTTTCCGTTTCGTTCCTGTTTCTTCCCGTTCAGAATCTAAAGAGCAGGACAACTTGCTGCAAATGTCCTCTTACAGCCCAGAAGTGGCTGCCCCGGTCAAGTCTGTGGAGTTCCAAGGTTATTTGCCTTTGGCAACTGTTCTTGAGAACCAGGCAAGGTGATCGGCGATAGGTAGCAATTACTTGAAGTGCTGGATTCTTCACTGCCAGTGTCACTCCGTGTGACTCCTTGTGTGCGTTGGCGACTTTGGTTTCAGAAGCTTTCTTGCAGTCCGCAAGTGTGGATGGCTTAGTTCCTTAATGGTCGCCATCGTCGCAGGTCTTCGTTTCTCATGCAGGCGTGCCAGGCCCTCAGGAACGTCTTTGGGAGGATTGGATGCAGAAGGCTCCAGACGAGGCGGCCAGAAGTGGAGATTCTACAAATGCTTTACCTCACGGGATTACCTACTGATTCTACAAATAGTTGCTTTAACTTACTTCAACTGATGCTAACTGGTTCCTATCTGCTTCTGCTCAACAGGCAGCTGGAGTGCTGAGACGTGACCAGCAAGTCACTTTGGCTGAGATTGAGGCCGGGAAGAGAGGCTTCCAGGGCCCATCAGGACCGTGTACAGGACATGGTGGCCTTTGCAAAAATCACCGGGTAAATGCTTCCTTTGCTTTGCATTGCAGGCGACCAACCGGGTTTGTGAGCCAAATCCGATGGACTTCCCTTTGGTGATCGACTTTTTGTGGTCAGATCCAAAAGGTGCGAATGGCTACGGCCCCTCCACTCGAGTGCCAATGGTCTACACCTTCGGCCCAGATGTTGCTCAGAGGTTTCTACAGGCAAACAACCTCAAGTACATGCTCAGATCGCATGAGACTAAATCAGCTGGCTTCCAGGAGAGGCTGCTCGAGAGGCTTTGCAGTTTTAGATATCCCAAAACTATCACATACGAAGCACAGCTCACAAACACTTGCAGAATCTTCATCGTTCCATCGACAGCCCAACGCACACACCGACATCAGAGACAAACAAAAGGCGCACTGACAAGCACCTGGTGGGCCAAGCAGTGATTAAGAAGCTGACATGCAGTTTTGAAAATTCATTTGGACCAGAATCGAACAGGCCACATTTAATTTGGGAGAAGAAGAGCACACAATTCTTGAAGGAAACACATGTGACAGGAAAGGAACAGGCAGCTTAAGAATTGCTTTTTGCATGACGAGGGCACAGGTCACTGCCTGGAGGGGAAGAAAAGGTCATGTCAGGTTTAGAGATGGCGTTTGAGGAAACTTGATGAGAAATTGCCTTTGCAAAGTAAAACTTGCCGAATGAAGTGATTCACCAGACTCCTCGCCTCTGGAGTCGAGTTATTATTGATGGATCATCCGATGTTTGCTGCATTCAACAGTAACCTGCAAGAAACAAACGTCACATGAAAGAGGGTTCAGGCTGGATTGCATTGATTGCATACAGATTGCACATGATGTGATCTTCTTTATACTGATGTCATCGGACGTCTGATGGCAGACGGATGCAGGACAATGTCTTCTCACGTATCATGACTTGCATGCAATGCCAGGTTATGGGTAATGCCAATTCCTTGCAAGGGTTTAAGGACATATATATGTGACTTAGCCAAGGCTACTAGTATGTTTATGCATAGATGTTGCCTGCCTTCTCCATTCGCACAAGAACTCTTGGCCATGCTTTCGGAAGAACAAAGGTAAAGTCTCGGTCAAGCGCAAGTACTAGTAGGTAACAATGCCAAAGCAGTCCGAACAATGTTGACTGGTTTTGTGGAGAAATCGCAGAGGAGGTGACAAAGGCACGCCTCTAGTTAGTTCGATAGGTGTTGATGACCGCACAAACAACCAATTGATGCGATTGTGCTTTCACTTCCCATTGCAGTGATAGCTAGGTTTAGGGAACTGGGAGCAATGTTACATAGTTGTTTGATCTTGTTTGTAATGGAACTTCTAGCAAAGACTCGCATTGCTTGTTCAGGAGACCATTCCAAATGTCATTACGGTCTTCAGTGCTCCGAACTACATTGATCGTGCTGGCAACCTTGCTGCTGTTGCTGTCTTGACAAACCAAGGTGGAAATTTGGACAAACAGTTTCCCGTCTTTGCAATTAGTTATAGTTGCTAGCCGCCAGCCCCGTGCGCGGAAATCACCATGGTGAGTGTTAAGTTTCCCTACAAAGCTAGAAACCAAATCATTAGTGCGAGCGCTTCTTCAAGGAAGCTGAGCTATCCTGCGTCCTAAGTAGTAGCTACTTAAGCTACTAGCTACCTCTTCTACTAGCTACCTACCTCTAGCTACTACCTACCTCTAGCGGCCTACCCCCCGGTCTTAAAAGAAAAAGGCTTAATGGCCAACCGAGGTTTGTTCAATTCCAACATCAGCCTCATCCAGACATTGAAAGTGGTGCTTACATGAAGGGGAAATCCTTGGCTCCTTCGTGAGGGAATACCAGCAGGTCAGATGACAGATGGTACAGTTTTCTTCCTTCTTTGGCCGGGGCTGTGTTTTTAGCAGCTCTCTGGACAAAATCAATATTTTCGACGCAAGGCAAAATCCTTGTCAGACTGGACTTGTCGCAGGAAAGCAACTCTGCCGTAGCCGATGAGAGACTAAAGGGGCTAGGAGAGATAGTCTTGGGTGCCAAACCTGTTACATCCTCCTGCTTCATATGACAGACAGGATACCTGTGACATACCGATGACGCTGCTCAAGGAAGGAAGACTGTCCACGTAGTTTCTCTGTGAACAAAGTTGTCTCCAATTGAATTCTGCAAAGGCAATGCTGCAAGAACTGTTCCTTCAGCAGTTGGTCGGGGTCTCAGGTGCAACTGATTGACGGTATGCTTTCGCTGCAACCTTGTAGAAGTGTACCATTTGTGCTCTTGTTTGCTTCTACTTCTACACAGTACTTCACAGACAGACTGTCCAAAGAGAGCCCAAACTCTGTCGAATTCGAAGCGACACACAGCCTATCCCGCGATGAAGATAGAGGGAGCAGTCTGCCTTTGTACGCACAAAGTCAGCCCTTTTGGTGGCCTTTTGTTCGTCAACGTCTCTCAGGTTCTCCTGCGACAGCAAACAGCTGCCAAGTTTGGCAAAGCTTCCCGTGCAGCACTCAATGCAGTTTGGAGCCATTCAGTACTGGTAAAGCTTGTTTTATGGTCCCACTTCCAGTGAAGCCATGTGGAGTGTTTGTTTTGTATTTCTACCTCAGGCCCTGTAGAAGCTGTCACGCAGGCAGACCAGCAATTTGTCACTCAGGCGGGCTTCGTAGGTCACAGTCACAGGTCGTCAAAACTTCAAAGCCCACGAAAGCGTCCGAAAGCCTACGAAAGCCTTTCACGGTCGGTCCAGAAGAGAGGAACAATAGGCGGTACCAAGGTAAAGAGGGCCTTAACCTCTTTTGTTCCTCTTTTTTCGAACCCTTTGACCTGCTGTACTTGCTTCTAATCTCCAGGCTGAGGAACTCAAGAGGCCTGGTAGTACGTGGAGCTATGAAGTGGACCGCTACGCTTTGCGGGCAGTCCTTGAAGGTAGCTTCCGACGGGAGGCGGTGGGGTGGCCTAGCTTTCCGCAGCTGTCGCTGTGTAGTCAGACCTCAATTGCCGAGGCCTATGCCGATGAACATCGGATTGCAGCCGGGTTGCTGAGTTGTGATTGTAGTTTTTTGAATTCCCCAAATCGAGCACTTCCTTTTGCCAGGCACGATCGCAGCAGTCCACCGTGGAGATTATAAGCAGGCGTTTTAGTTTTGGTTGCCTTCCTTTTTGCTGCAGTTTGTCAAGTCCAGAAGCTTTCTTGTTCCAACGTTGATTCCGAAACAAAGTTAAGTGCTAGAATTAAGGGTCCCCATTATATATATATATATATTTAAGGGCTGCCGCCCCTGCCGCCGACCCCGATTCTCAGGTCCGGCTTTTCCTCCATTGGTTGGCAACACGTCACTAGCAACTCTGTAAAGATGGCCGACAGAAGACCGAGAGGAGCCTACATCACTCCACTTAGAACATCATCCTTGCAAACAACATGTTTCGGTCGATTTCATCAGCTCCAATGCCAAATCGTAACTTTCCAAGCGGTCAACGCCGAACCTTTGGATGGAG